TTGCAATTCAATAGGCCTATTCAGGGTGAATGCCTACGTGGATTATGTTGAAGTTATTCACCTTATAACCAGACAGGATGTGAATCACCATCCTTATAAGGAAGTCATTGAGTATGCTAGGTTTTTGTCATTCAACAATTGCTTTGTTTCTTTAGAATTCATGTATAGAGAACTTAATACCTGTGCACATCTTCTTGCTAGTCAAGCTTCTGTTGTTATAGGTTATTTTTGCTATTATGATCAACCCTTACCTTTTTGTGTTGAGATGGTGGATGATGATAAGAAGCATTCTACCACTGTAACTTAATTTGCACTCCGTCTTTTGAGTAATGTTATCCATGTTTATGCAAAAAAGAAAAAAGAAAAAATTGTACTTTCTCCATCTCAAATTATAAAATATTTTTAAATAAAATCTCACACACCAATAAATTTCATTAAACACATTTAACAACCTTATTTTTCCAAAACAAAAGTATAAACTTTTAAGAATACCCTTCATTTAATAACTTTAAATCTACAACTAATTAGTATTAAATAGAGAAAAAGAAAGGGTAATATTAGAATAAGCCTATTTAATGAAACATTAATCTTCTCAAAGTATTTTATAATTTGAGATAGAAGGAATACTGTCTTTAAGTTTGGAATATCATATGCTCCTAAGTGAATAGATGAGGGATATTCCTACTTGAAAATTAATTTAATATGAGGATGATGCATGTCACAGGAAGAGATGGTGAAGCCGCCGGTAGTGCAGGGGACAAGGAATGTGATCATAGTAGTTGCGAAAGCAAAAGTCCAAAGAGTTGTGTTGACATCATCCATTAGAGCAGTCTATATGGACCACAATAGGAGCATTGACATGGTGGTTGATGAGTGGCGTTGGAGTGATTTGGAACATTGCAAGAACGAGGTAAATAAATTCCACCCAATATTTTATGGAAAGACAAGTAGATCTTAGATTTTATGATCTACCAACCAGTTAGGTTAGTGATTGAACCAATAATATAATAATTAAATTAAAATAACATTAGTCACATGTATAAAATTTACAATATATCTTTTGTTGATACATGATTTTATAACTCAAAAAGCTAGAAAAGTGACATAAAGAGTGATAAATGATAAGCAATCAAAAAAGAAATTATGCAACAGAAAAAGAGAGACAAACGATAATATATTAGGCCTTCTTAAATAATTTTGCCTAAGACCACAAACTCCTTAATATGATCCTCAATATTAGACATTCAAAATCCATACATACATTGGTTGTGTGTGTGTGTGTGTGTCTATATATGCAGTTGTATTAGACATCCAAAATCTATATATATAGATAGTACTAAATCCAACCAAATAGCTATTTGAAGTTTTGATGAATGAATAACTTCAAGCGCAATCATTGAAACACTCAATAAGTAAGATTGAGTATGTGGCTTTGTAGAATTGGTCCTGCTATGGGAAGACAGTGGCAGAGTAAATAGCATGGGAAGAAGCAAGAGTAAGAGGAATGGACTTGGTTGTGGTGAATTCAGTTTTGGTGATGGGACCATTGCTTCAATCCACCATAAATGTAGCCACAATGCACTTTCTTAAGTATCTCAATGGCTCTGTTAAAACCTAAGTAAATGCCACTCATGCTTATGTTCATTTTAAGGATGTGTGGCATTAGCCCATATTTTGGTTTATGAGACTCCTTTTGCTTTTGGTTGTTACATGTGTTCTAAGAGTTCACCCCACCGTGGAGAAGTGGTTGAAATTCTGATGAAGTACTTTCCAGAATACCCCATTCCTACTAAGTAAGTCCTTGTTTTAAGTGTAAAAGAAAATTGGCTTTTAAACTATAGGTTTATGAGTGTCAAGGATCCTAAATTCATGTTTGGCGCAATGTTCAATTTTAACTTTTAATAACAGTTCAATTTATCTTCTACCATTAACAAAAGTTATCTTTGACTATTAATTGACAAAAAAGAACAGTAAAAATTACAAAAAAAGATCAATAAAATTTTCTCGATCCTTTTCTGTAATTTTTGGATACTTCACTATAATTTTTGTCTTTTGTAACTTTTGAAAATTTTTAATTATTTTTTAGTTAACTAACAGTTAAAATTAACTTTTGTTAATTGTAAGGATTAGATTATACCATTTTTAAGAGTTAAAAGAAAATATTGTATCAAAAATGAATTTAAAGTTTCAAACACTTTTAAACTTATATTTTAGAGGTCAATTTATCATTTAATTCTTTTTTTATTCAGAAAAGATAAATTAAAGATATTTTTGTGTGTTCTATAATCTCAATTTTCAAACATAATTCTTGTAGTTCATCCAAAAAAAAAACACCATAATTCTTGTAGACTTTGTGGATTGATTCCCTCATGATTCTTGTTTTTCTTCAAAATTTAGAATGACTTTGACTTAGATGCGGTTGAATTTAACTGTGATATATATATATATATATATATATATTGTCTCAAGCATATGTTCAGATGAGAAGAATCCAAGAGTAAAACCCTACAAATGCTCAAAGCTAGGGGTGCACATGGGCAGGGCTGGGCTGGGTAGAAGCTTGCCCGATGCCCAGCCCGAAGAATGTATGGGCTGCAAAATGCAGCCCGAAGCCTAGCCCAGCCCACAAAATGCCCCATTAGTTTGGGCTGGGCTGGGCTGACTGGACAGCTTTGCCTAGCCCATCAAATAATCACTCTACCCATTAAATCACAACTCTTTTTATCATTTTGAAATAAAACTTTCACAAATCAACAATAGTCCTATGTATCAACTCAAAATAGCATCCATAAAATCAAAAATCATAAATCCACAATATCTAATTATCCATAATTCAACACCCTACTTGAAAACAAGTCTTGGCACAATATCAAATTATCCATAATTGAATCCAAAATAACAGCTATGATCATTGAAAATAACAAATTTCACAAAAGCTTGGAGTATCATATGAGAAACAACAATTTGAAAGAGTAGACTCCAATTCACAAAAGACTTCTTCCCAACTCCCAACCTGCATGAATGGAAGAAGAAAAGTATGTCATAACTAAACAGATTAAAATCCTTATTCTAGGCAAATGCATAGTAAATCTTGAATGGAGTAAAAGGAAACTCACATGCAAGCTAACATTTGCTCTGGAATGCATCAGATCTGCCGTCCTCTAGATAAAAGGGGTCAAAAGAAATAAAATCTACAATAGCCAAGCATAACTTTGGTAAATAGCAAAGCAGAATAAAAGGGGCCAGCAGGGGGCATGCATGCATAAGGGACCTATGACTAGTGTCCACTTCATCCAACTTAACCAAATTTACACACTTGTTATTTAATTTTTCAAAGAGTTAATAAAGGGTCAAGATATACTTGTAAAGAAACACTTTAATCAACACTAGCAGCCGCATTCTCCCCTCTAAGTGTTGCATCTAAAGACAAAAAATTACATTAATATAAAAACTAAAATAAAGGGTGTATTTGTGCATGTGTAAACTTTAGAAAAAAATGTTACTTGTAAGCTGAATAATATTTTCTGTCTCATTAAAGTTATCGAACTCATGGAGCTTATCAACCAACTCAGAGAGAGATTGCCCACTTTACAGCCAATTTTGCCCATAAATCAATGCTTCTGTCATTTTAGGAGATAAAGAGCTCTTATATTGATTAACTACACATCCACCAGTACTAAATGCAAACTCAGAAGCCACTGAAGAAACTGGCATAGCCAATACATCTCATGCCACGTGGGAGAGAATTTTATATTTTTCAGAATTTACTTTCCACCATGATAGTATGTCAAACTCAAAATCAGATGATGAGATTTCAGCTCTAGAATCAGTTGCAAGATATCTATCTAGCTCACTTTGTGGATCCATTAAAGTTCTTTTCTTTAAAGACTCTAACCACATTACCCTTGGATCCTCAATGTCGTCGTCATCATCATCATCATCATCAAGAAAGGGCAATGAACTTGTAGATGCATTACTAGCATGGGTAGGCCCTGATTCAGTAGAAATTCTAACAGAATACTCATCAAACAATCGATACAAACAAGTTTTGACATTATCCATCATCAATGTACATTCTTTAGGGTTACTGAAAAGGAGTTCAAACATGTGATTTACATAAACTAATTTGTACCGAGGATCCAAAATCACAGCCACAATCAATAATGGATTCATATTATCTACCTGACCCAAATACTTATCAAGCTTCATATGCATCTTAAAGCTCATATCTACCAAAAAAGTATTACTACTGCTTCCAATATGCTTCTGCAACATCTGCTGAACAAGAGAAATTTGATGGAAACAATCATTTGATGTTACAATAAGGGAGCTTGAAAATTTCAAAGTTATGTCATAAAAGACCTTTAAGAATTTAATGAAGACTTTAGCATTTTTCCAATCATCAAGAATAGGGCCAGAGAAAATACCTCCCTCTTGCTTAGAGTTAAAGAATGCAATATAATCATCATCTTCATCACGCATCCGCTCAAACACCTTTTGAAACTTCATTGTAGCTTCTAACATCAAATATGTTGAATTCCATCGAGTACTAACATCAAGGCAGATAAGGCTCTTAGTTTCTATTTTTTTAGATTCAACCTAATTTTTAAACTTTAGAAACCGTGAAGGAGAAGACCGAACATATCTCATAGCACTTCGAATGGCTTCAAAACTATCTTTCATGGGTTTGATGCCTTCATTGACCACCAAATTAAGAACATTGCACAACATCTTAATTGTAGATAGTCTCCTCCACAAATTAAGCCCTTCCAACTTCTCAACCTCCTTTTAAGATATCCCAAAGCCGTGTCATTAGATGAAGCAATATCCATAGTTATGCTAAACACATTAGCAATACCCCAATCCAATAAGCATTGCTCAATGGTCTTCCCTATAATCTCACCTTTATGATTTTCAATCATAACAAAACTTAAGATCCTTTTGTGAAGCTTCCATTCATTGTCAATAAAATGTGCCGTCAAACACAAGTAATTGAAATTTTAGTTTAACGTCGAGTAATCTGTCGTGAGATAAACACGCTTAGAACATTGCTTCAAGATCTTCTTTAGCACTTTTACTTCACCAAGATATAGCTGCCACACATCCCTTGCAATTGTTGTTCTTGAAGGGATTGGAAAGCGAGGTTCAAACTCATTCAACAATTTCTTAAATGCAGGCTTCTCAACAATTCTGAATGACTGCTCATCACAAATAATAAATTCAGCAAGAGCTCTTCTACACCTCTTCTCATCATATAAGTGAGTGACTATAGATTTTCCTTGCCCACTTGTCCCACTAGATAATAGATTTATCATTACTTGTTTCTTATCTTTGGTGGCCTTGTGAGGGTTCTTTGGATACTTTGGGATGTGCCTCAACAAAGAATGTGTCCCATGGCATGATGGATTAAAAGCATAAGTCATGTGGCAATACTTGCATACTGCTCTATGCTCCCCATTAGTTTCTTCTATAGGCAACCTAATAAAGTAATCCCATACCTCTGATGTATACTTGGGTTCCTTTGCTTTCCTTTTTTGACCCCTTTTCTCAGCATCTGTCACTTGTGTGACATGTTCTGTGGGTGTTTGGGTGGGAGGAGCACAGGGGGAAGAGAAGGAGGTGTAGTGGGAGGGATAGATTGAGGGGGAGGGGCAGGGGTTGCTGTTTGTGTAGGGGGAGTATGGGTTGGGGTTTGTGTAGGTCCAGTAAAGGTTGGTGAATGGGAAGGTCCAGTAGGGGTTGATGTTTGCGATGTTTCAAAGGGCGATGCAACCGAAGCTTGATTCTCCATACTAGTATAAAAAATGCAGAACCATAAATTATTAGTTAAGAAGAATCTAATCCAAGTCCAATAATAATTCACACACATATAACTTCAAAATGTAACCTAAGTCCAACAATAATTCACGCACACATATATCCATTTAGAAGTGCAAATCCAAGTCCAACAATATATCCAAGTCCAATAATAAATTCACACACACATAAATGTAATCCAAGTCCAAAATGTAATCTAATTCCATTAATTCAATTCTTTCTCTTGACTTCCTAGGCAAAATTTGGCATAAGAAAAATCAAGAGAAAATCTAACTTTGGGCAAAAGAGAGCTTTAAAATGCATGTAGCATGGAATGTGATATGTACTAATGCAACCAAAAATAGAGGAAATTGAGAATAATGCCTTACAAAATGTGATATAATTGCACTGAGGTATATATGCAACCAACCCAATCAGTAGTTAAAGAAAGCTTCAGATGGTTGTAGCAATGCCAAACCACATGTTCAAAAATCAGCCCAATGAAAGCAGACAAGGTTTTAAACTAAACATCTAAGCTAGTATTTCTTAGCAGAAATACATTAGATCAATTTTGAGCACAAAAATTTCACAACATAAACCAGAAACCTCCTTAAGGGAAAGAATCTAAAAATAAGGCTACTCAAATCAAATATTTCTGCAATACAAAGAACCATGACAAGATTATGGAAAAAATTGAGAGAAAATCTTACCTTGGGCAGACAAGACTGTGAAGCTGGGCAAACGAGACCTTTTATGCGATGAGAGCAATAGACCATGAACTTAGATAGACGAGAGCTTCTGTATGACTTTAAGAGACCGGAGAAGGAAGTTAGGAACGACATTATGTTGTGCAGTTGTGGAAACTGGAGACTGGAGACAGGTAGAGCGAGAGATGCTGAGTTCAGTCAAGGACTCAAGCTCCTTCACACAGTCACACGCCACACTGCCACTCGTACTCGCACACGGGAGAGAAGGCAAAGATTAAGCATCAATTTACAGATGGGAGGGAAGGGGATCATCGCACTCTCATGCCATTAATAGGATTTGGGAGATGATTTGACTTCGTTCAAGCTCAAGAGCTCAGATGGCAGAGGAGATTAGAGAGGAAAGAAGATTAGAAGAGCTCAATCGCGGTCGCCTATCGCTCACTCGCTGTCACCCCTGTGAGTCTCAAGTCTCAATAGGCTGTGACTCTCAACCTCACCGTCTCAAAGACTTAGACGAAGCTAAGGAAATCCAGAAATGGCAGATTGGCTTGGCTGGTGTGACATGACAACAAAAAATTCCAACCCTAATCTTTTCCCTCCCTCTTTTTATCTGACTGTGAGTCCATGACCAATTTGGCAATTCCCTCCTACTCTCCATAATTCTGAACTTTAAACTAAAAAAATAATAATTAAAAAAAATAGGGTTGGGCTAAACGGGCAGGGTTGCATGACTTGCCCGCTGCTTGGCCCTGCTCGCACATTACCTAGCCTAAATATGAACAAAATATTTTGGGATTTTTTTTGGGCTGGGCTGGGCAAAAAATAACCGGATTCGGGCGGGCATATCGGGTAACCGGGCATCATGAACACCCCTACTCAAGCAGAAGCTGAAGGATTTAGGGTTTGAGTTTACCCCAGCGAAGCAAGCCTTATACGACACCGTCAAGAGCCAGCAGAATAAAGACCGTCTTCCACTTCCCTCCAAGCAAGGTGAATTTGTTCAAATTAAATCTGGCAGAGCTAGACTCTAAACATGCAAAATAGTATGAGTCATGCAGTATTGTTATTATTAAGGGCATATATGTAATTTTGACTTTTTTAAAGCAATTTGGATCGACATTCAAAGCGAGGGGCAGAGTCAAAAGTTTAAATAAAAGGAAGCCAAGAGTGAAAAGCGTATATTGTAAGAAAAATAATATTAAAATCTTCACAAATAATATAAATAATAATCAGTTTCTCAAAATGTTATAATTTTTCTGAAATTTTTAAAAATTTCTTTAAATAAAAATTATTATTTTTTAAATAAAAGTTTGTAATTAAGGTTTGTTATTTTGAGGAACTTATTTTATAATAATAACAAAAATTACACTTAATAAGTTGTGATTTATTGTCCAACTCTTGTGATTTACAAAATAAAAGTTATTATTTTTTAAAGAAAAGTTATAATTAGGCTTGTTTTTCAATAACAGAAATTATATTTGATAAATTGTGATGTCTTATTCAACTCTTGTGATTTATAAAAGAAAAGTTTTAATTTTTTAAGCAAAAGTTATGATCGGACATTGTTATTTTTAATAAAGATAAGATAATTTTTTTACTTTAAAATTTATTAATATTAAGTGAAGTTATGATACTTCAAGAGGTTAAATTATAATTTGTATAATTTAAGAGAATTTTGTTCTTATTTTTTTTATATTATAAAAAGTTTTAGGGCTTATAAATGTATCACTTATGTAATACTAAAAAAATTTAAAATTTCGTCGGATTGTGGCCTTTCCTCCTTCGTCCACCGCTAGTTGAAGCCATATTATTGAAAATATCTACGCTTACATTTATATGCGTCTCCATATTTTTATATATAATCAAATGTCAAAAGCAAATCTGCACTTACTTCAATTAACATATCATTATATGTGTTGCTTAGTGGCAGCGACGGATTTATGGCGCGGGGCTGCTGCCCCCACTAACATCATTAGCACCTCTTAATTATAAGGTGGGGAAAATTATCACTTGCCCCTTTCAAAATTCCCGCTTGCTTTATTAAAGTATTGCTCTAGTATTAGTTAAGTTTTTTTTTTTCAAAAATAAAAAATTGAATCTTTACTCCTAAACAATTTTTTAGTCATTCAATCAAAAAAATTAATGTTATTTATATTCTTAACTTTTAGGTGATAGATTGGTTTATATAAAAATTGTCTTGTTTAGATTATTTATATAAATATATAAGATTAGGCTAAAATTTATAAAATTCTCATGAATTTTAATATAGTTACATATAACTCTTCCCTCATTTAAACTTTTAAAATTAACATCTTAAAATTTTTTTTTCAAAGCCCCATACTATTAATAATTTTGTTATCTTATTAACAAAATTTGCCACATCAAATTAATGAGATATACATATGGCACCTAACATTGAAAAACATTTAATTTTTTTTAATACAACTCAAGAAAGAATCATATCAATAAAAATCTATCTTTCCTTGAAATGAGATAGGTATGCACCCACAATAATAGAAAAATATAGATAAAATGTTTATAAAGTTATTATTAACTTATATAAGATGTCACATAAGGTTCTATATATCTTTTCTTAATATGAATGATAACTTTTGTTGGTAAAATAGCTAAGAAATATTAGTAGGGAGTTTGTGATTAAAAAATAAAATTTAAATGAGTTCTACTGTCTCAAAATTTATGAAAATTTTATATAATTTAACCAAATAAAATTATAATAAAATATTTTTTCAACTTCTCAAATAAAATATTAATTTTTATTTTGAAAATAATAATAATGTCAGGTTGTTTAATTGTTTATATTGAAAATATTTATTTTAAAAGAGTATGATTATTTTCATCAAAAAAGAGTATTAGCATATGATATTAATATTTACTACTTATTCTATTATTTTCAACACAAATTTTATTTATATTAAGATAATTCTATTTTTAAGTTAGTATAATTTCATATTTTTATTGTTTCTTATGCATTTAATTTTAATGAATTTATTTTTATTATTTAAATAAATATTTATAATTATATTTGAAAATATTAATATTTATTTATATATGTTTTGCCCCCAACAACAAAATTTACTAGATCCATCACTGCTTAGTGGCCATGTTGTTTGGATTATCCTTGAAATCCACCACATTCAATACTAACAAATGATTAAATATATTTAACTCATTATTCCAAATAAAAATGTATAATTCTAAATAATATCAGATTCTCCAAACGAGTGATCTTGCGGGAACAAAGTTAGTTAGTACTTTCCTCAAATCACATGCTAGAACATTAATTAATGTTCCTATATTTTAGTAAACATTATTAAAAATATCTTATGTATATTACTACTAACATTAACAACATGTTGGTCAATTTTATCACTAGATGATTTAAATAATAACCTTTTTATCAGAAAAAAAATATGTACTAAAAAGCCTGAAGGCAGAAGAAGTTGGAAACAAGAAACAACAACAAACGTGCATTTCCTTAATACTTATATATATTCCTTCTGTTTAAAAATATAAGACATTTTTAATTGAATCTTACCTTTTAATAAAGTAGTTACTTACTTTGTAACTAACCCTATTTTTTTATATTTACCCCTATTAAACACCTTAAAATAAATATAAAATTATTATTAATAGGGGCAGTTTTTTTAAAAAGGTAATAATTAAACCTCAAAAGACTAAAAATAAAATTCCTTGTATTTTTAAATATCCAGCTCTTCAAAAAATACCTTATATTTTTGAATTGAGGGAGTATCTACTTTTAACTTTTATTAATATTATTGACTTTTCATAAAAAAAGAAAAAGATAGAAACAACAACTAACAGAACAATGTATTATCACTTTATGAATTGAAAAAATTAATCATTTAATCCCTATAGTTTTGATTCAGTTGTAATTTAAT